TGTAATGTGTAATGAGGTAACCCTGCCATGCTATCAGATAGCTCACTGACATATCATATTGATACATATTATCATAGCTTTTAGATTCCTCCGTTTCAACCCATCACATGGTGTCTCGAGGAAGCACAGAGGCTTATGGCATTTCATTAAAATCTTACAGCTTCCCCTGCAGTTTACCTGGCAATTCTTGAAAGTTAGGAAGAAGACACTGAAATAAAAGAGTTGATGCATCTTTAATGTTCAAAATTAGTGTGACACACCTTGGATCATAAAAAGTTCATCACCAACTGACAAAGCAGAAGTTATTTCAGAGTATAGGAGTGTTACAGACTCACCCCACTCTTCATTCTTATGTATGTCACAGCTTTGCCTTCACTTTGTGATGTATCAGGCACTTGGCAATAGTGGCCCAGAGTAGCATTGCCACAGCTAAGGATATGCCAGTATAACACAGCCTTTAGTAGCAGCTCAAATATAAATTGCTCATCATGCCTGCCTCTCATCGAGTGTTATACAGCATAACTAGCATTATGAACACAAACCCAAGCCCCACACCTCTCTTTTTACTCCAGGAAGAGGTAAACTTCACTTTCAGAAAAACAGTGTTCATAGTCTAGTCCTGGCAAAAACAACAGCAACCCTGAATTCTCATCCACAGGAGAGCACCTTCGGAGAAGCTGCTGTTTCTTTCCCTTGCCTCCTCCATACAACACCACCAACCAGTACTAGGACAGAGGTTTCTAAGAGCCTGCAGAGAGGATCCCCTCTGGCTTTGCAGCAAACTCTGCTGCCACAGGAGGAGGAAGAGTCCAGACTTTCTGGCCCTAGCACCTCATCCCTGCTGTTCTTGGGGCAGGCTGTGCTGTCTCCTTACACCTCTCAGACTCCCTGTCTCATTCTCCTAACATAAACACATGACTTCCCTCTCCAGGGCAGGCCTTGGGCCAAAATATCAATGCTAGTGGTGGCTTGTGTCGTGGAAGGCAGCTGTGCTACCCTTGCAGGCAGGGCTCAGTTTCCCCACTGGCAAAGAAAATTGGTTCAAAGACCACACGACAGTCACTTGGATTGTGAAACTGGGATGTGAGGAAACGTGGGGTGCAGACACACTGCAACCTTAGTTCTGCCTCCCTGTGCATGCACAGCAATGGCACCCTGTGGGTATCCCTGTCCCACAACCTTTGCCTCAGTCACCAGAGGGGCAAACATAAAGTGACTCCTCATTCCGAAACTAACTTAATAAGACTCTTTTAGGGGCATGCGTGGGGAGAGGGTTTAACTGCTTGATGTAACTGCATTTTTGCCTGACATCAATCCTTTCTACCTGGTCATTTCCTTACCCACCTCTGGATGATTTACTATCTGGAGCTCACACAGCTTTGAGCAGGAAGTGCTCAGACTCCCACTATGCTTTAGTCACATAAAGTAAGAGACCTCAAAATATTAATCAAAATTAAGAGATGCATGATCCTAAATCAACACTTCTTAAGTAACTGTAAGGAAACTTGGTACAAATGTGGATACTGAGTAACTAAAAATTGAGGGAATTAAAAAAATGTATGAATAATGACACCTATATAATTAAAAATTTCAACCACTTTTAAGAAGAACAGCAGTCACCTTTATGATCTCCTTAACTTAATCCACATAACCACCTTCTTCAGATACAGTTTTCTACACATTACAGGTTCCAAATTTAACTACAAAGACTTCCAAACTACTACGTAACACTCAGGATTTAGGTTTCCTCTACTAAATTTAAGTGAAAAATGTATAGTAGAAGAAAAAAATGCAGGAGAAAAATGCCAAATTCCTTGAGAAGCTTTTAATTATATGAACCATTTTTCTTATTGGTAGGATGACTTTTGGTGATCACATTCCCACTGGTAATATCCTGGTGTCACAATTAATATTGGTTTATCTTTTATCAATCCACTGATTAGATTTGTGTTTTTAAAAAGCTGTTTTAATCAGGAACTTTAGTCATTCAGGGCTTTTTTCCTCCCTCCAATTAACTAAGATTAAGAAGTCCAAACAGTAATTTCTAAGAAAACCATTAATAGTTTAAACCACTGAACACTAAAACTACATATTAGCAGTTATACTGTTTATGCAATTAGTACTTGGAGAAGTATTTTTAAGTTTAACTTAAGTTCCCCTTTATTTCTGCACTTTCCTCTATACTCATTTTAGTTAGCGAAGCAATCGCTGACTGCACACCCTGTTTGTAGTCTCAGCTCTATATTTTCCTTCCCTGAGCTTCACGATCAGAATTTCAGCTCAACTTCCCTACTCTGTGTTGAGGTGGGGGACATTCACTTGAATAGAGAATGTTATTATTTTTTCAGTTTGCAAGTCACAACAATTACCAGGTTTTTGCACTGAACCTAGATTTCAGAGCTCAAACTCTTTCCCCAAAAAAATGTCTTGAATTCCATCTCTAAAAATCAGACAAACTCCAGTAGGATGTGAAAGAACATGTGGGTCACTTTTAAAAGCACATGTGCCAAGAGCATGCAACTCTTGAGTTAGGGTAAGGAAAAATAAAAGTGAAACTAGTTTCGTTTACTTGGATTAAAATCCTGAGTCCATCTTCACAACAAGGGTAAGAAAGCAAGCTTTTCTTGGAAAATTCAGAGGCAGAAGGGGTGCATTCAGACCAGAACCTTTCACTCATCCACAGAGCTAAAGGATAAGCCAGCAGACATCTCTCTCTTTTACATCTTCAAGTGAGATCTGCAGTGCTGTTGCACAGAGTGGGAACTCTGATATAGAAACTGGGGCCAAGGAAGACAGGACGAGAGGAATGGCTATCTCTGCCTCCCAGTCCTGTCCTTCCCAGCTCCCCTTTGCCACTCCAAGCTCTCCTGAGGAAAGCACTCCAACAATAAAACACCTGTACTTGTGAGAGTTATGGATACCCCTTAGAAAAGATACAGAAAATTTTAAACATACACACCTTTCTAGATTACCATCTGAAAAAGGTACCCAGGGTTTTCCTACAGGAACTGTAGTTTACTGATCCAAGATTGTTCTAACAACACTTTTGCTTTTTGTTACACTGACATCACTATTTTGAAGTTAGTATGGAAAAGAGGTTCATCTGGGTAAAAAGGCTCTTGTTAAGGTGAATCACTTCTTTAAGCAATGGCTGGACACAGTGAGTGAAACCAAGGCAGCAGGTAACTGCCAAGAGGGAACTGCGTGCAAACAACTAGCTGAGGAGGAAACCGCTTGTCCTTGAGAAAAAAAATCACAAGTCAGGGCTCAAAGAAAACTTTTCACATCTGTCAAATCTGCCTTGGTCCCTCTTGGTAAGTGACATTTCCTGGGTTGCATCTCCATTGCCTTCTTCTGGCATTTCCAAATTCAACGCTTTTTTTTTCACTAGCAGCAAAGAGCAGAGTGCAACAAAACACTGGGTCACATTTTCATCATGCTGTTTCTCTGTGGTTCAAAAAAAGATTTGGAAAGTGTTACACACCCTAGGCAAAATACCCAAATTTCCTCTGCCAAGAAATACTAATGCTAGAAAAATGTTCAGATGACTTCAAACCATATGCGCATCTGCCCTTTTTGTCACCAGGGTCTTCTCGTTTGTTTGAGGGTATCATTGCTGCTTTTTGAGAATGAGGAAGGGAATCCCAACAGAAGAATCAGGAATGAATAAAAAGCACCCAAACACTACCCAAGGATGCGACATGTGATAAGATGAACAAATAAGCTTCTATTGTGCGGTGTACTTATTCCATCTCCTTCCCAGTACTTCAGGTATTGTCTATGCCAATATCATCATCTGCCTGAACTCCTTACTGAAACACTAGGCCCTCTCAATACTACTTTTTTTATGGTTCCTCTGGTTAAAACTAGCTACAGGGCCACAAAGGCTTACTTGCTGAAAAGGAGAGAAAGTCAAAGGCATGGTCTACAATGCAACTGTATGGTCAGCTCCGATGATAGCCTACACATCTGCCTGAACTCATAGTTTGCTCTAAGTTTATAAACTCAGAAACATTTTAGTCTTCAAGAGAAATACAAGCAGATCATTGTTTTTTTTCTGATAAACTCAAAGTTTCCCCTAAGTCAGCACTGAACACACTGTTGATCCAAATCAGAAAAGTGCAAAAATTTAACTCCTTAAACCAATGACTAATCTGAAGTCCCTTAGAAAAAACTACAAGTGTCACTCACTTGCCAGCTTAAAGGCTGTCAGCGAGCGTCAGCCGGTATCAAAGACTAAGCTTTTGGAGCACAGGTACGTTCCGCTCCTGGAGCAGCTGGGACAGAGAAGCCGAAAGCGGCGGTCCCGGGCGCCCCGGTGGGGTGGGGGCACAGCGGGCGGCGGCGGCAGGAGCGCCCGGGCCGGGGGAGGCTGCTCGCCGCTACCCGCCTTCCAAGCACCTACCTGGGCTGAGGGAGGGAGCGCCCGCGCGGCTCTGAGCCGAGGTCTCAGGAGACACTGTCAGACAGCCAAAGAGAGCAAGAAGAGAAGCAGGGACCCCCGGACCAAGGAACCCCCACACCGCCTCGCGAGGCCACAAGTCAGGCCGGCGTGCAGCCAGGCGCCCGTCCCGGGCCCGGCCCCCCGCCCCGCCCCGCGTCCGGGGCCCCCGCCAGTCGCAGCCCCCCCGGGACCGCTGCCCTCGGGCATCGGCGGGTCCTGCTCGGCCGGCGAAGGGGAGCAGGGGAGGAGTCCGGCGGCGGCGCCCGTGCCGGGGCCGCCGCCGTGCCTCAGCCCCTACCCCGCTTCGGGGGATGGGGCACGGCCCGAGCGCCCCTCGCTACAGCCAAGGTCGCGGCTGCCCTGCCCTGTTCTCTCCTTCCCTCCCCTGTCCGGCCGCTCCCGGCTGGGCCGCGCGCTCTCGGCCCCAGGGCCCCGAACTGCCGCCTGCCCGTGATGGGTGGGGGGAGGCGCGGCAAACTTTCCCCTCTCCGCGGCGGGGGCTACCGCCCCCCGGCCCGCAGCCGCCCCGCCCCGCGGCGCCGGCTGCGGTGCTCACCTGAGGCCGGGGCGCACCGCGGCTGGAAGCGGCGGCGCAGCTGGTGCAGGATGACGCGGAGGCCGATGCAGTACACCCGGAGCAAGGGCACCAGCGCAGACAATAGCGACATGGCCGCCTCCCGCCCCGCGGCGGCAGCGGGCTCGGGGCGCGGCGGGGAAGGTACTGGGCGAGCAGGCGGCCGGCGCAGTGTTTCCGCCGGGCCGGGCCGGGCCGGGCCGGGGGGCGCGGCGCGGCCCCCACCCACCCACGGAAGGGAAAGCGCCGCAGCTGTCACAGCAGCGCTCGGGCTCGCCGCGGCTCCCGCCCTTCTGGGCATGTGCGGTGGCGGGGGAAGGGAAGGGAAGAGAAGGGGCGGCGGCGGGCGGACCGGCCTCGGCGGCGGCGGCAACAGCGACAACGCGGCGGCTCAGCCCCCGCCGGGACGCCCGAGCAGCTGGGCAGGGGGAGACGGAGAGGGGCGGCATGCGCGACACTGCAGCGAGGGGGGAGGCGGTAGCGGCGTGACAGCCGGCCCGGTGAGGCCGCCGGGGTTGGGGCGCAGGGACTGTCGCTGCCACATCTGTGACAGCTACAAGCCAGTCAGTGCCTAGGCGGAGCGAGGCACACGGCGTTGCTTCGGGACCCCGTGGCTGAAAGGGCTCATCGGGTTGTCTCAGCATTTCCCTTCACTGTGCACAAATGAGGGGCTGCTGCGGATTCCCACGGCGTCGCTGGGTCTGGGTACGGCCCCTCTCACCTCGGGCATCCCTCAAGCTCACTCCTCTCGGGGTCTCAGTTGCAGGTACCGATTTCTCCAAATGTAGCTCAATGTACGGAGCTTTCCTACCTCAGGAGCCGGAATTTTACACCTGTCTGACTAATACTTTCTTTACAACTGGTATATCGCATGCTATATCTATATAGTGTTGTCAGTTTTCAATGCTCAGCCTTAGTCTGAGTACTCGGGACAGAGAAGCGGGTCCTGTCTACCAGTTCTTGTGGTAGGTGGCTGGTTTCGGCTACAGGAAATAGAGCGCCTGGTCCTGATGCCGTGGTTTTCATTCACAGAACCGGGGGGTTTTCAAAAATGCAGATGAGCCTCAGTATCGATACAAACTAAAATAATCATTGCACAATAGGAAACGTTGGCCCATATATTCAGTTTCAAATCTTTAGGTAACTTTTTGTCTCTGAGAAAGATGGGAAGCCATACAAAGTTCTGGAAGTGTATTTGAAATGCAATCTCCTAGCCTTTAAAAAAACCCACTCCATACTTTCTAAAAAATTATACAATTAACAACATACTTTTTCAGTATCAGATTACATTGCTCAGAAGAACTGACTTCGTGTCTTCTGTCAGAAATACACCTAAAGTAAAAGCATAGTGTGTAGTTGCTCCGGGACAAAACCAGCCATTTAATTTTATGGATCTCTGGTGATTTTTTTTTATTAACACAGAGAATTAGGCAAACATAAATTATAGACATCATTAAGTCACATCAATGAGGGATTCATTCTTAATGTATATTTTTTTGCAACCATGCATGGAATACTAGAAAGAGCAACACATAAAACAACATGAAAGAAGAAATACATTTACTAAAGGTGAATTATTCTTTCAACTTATCTCAGTAAAAATCAAATCCTGACTCTTTTATGTTGCTTTACATCCTTTTCTCAGAACTACACCATTAATGAAAGCCCTTTCAACATTAAACTGTGAAACTTGCCTACAGTGTATTTACACAATCTGTATATAAATAAACCATACTTTCTCAGGTTTTCTAGTATAATAAAATCAATTTATGCATATTCAAGGTACTGCAATAAATACTCCTCTTTTTTCAGACAATGCTATCCAAGGAATTAGACTAAGTGAGGGAAAACTGATGGGTTAACATTACAGTCTTATTGGACCCACTACTTTTTCTCAGCGTGTTACAAATTATTTTCAGCCCTCCACGGCTCATGAGTACAGTGTCACATAAAATATTAGAAATTTTTTTCCAACAATATATTATTTTTTCCTAAAGCTAATGGGCCATGGAGGAGGAATGAAAATAATTACAACAGGCTGTAGTCTTTGATTCTTTTCAAATAGTCTTCTAATGCATCCTTATTTTAATCAATACTTTCTTTTCTTTGGTTTTCAACAGCTTGCATCTTATTATTGACACTTTGGTTTTTCTTGCAATCATTTACTCCAAAGCCCCAAGTATTCAGGCTGGAATCTCATCCATCTACTTTAGATACCTCACTGAGACATTATTGAATGAAATTTTAGGTGTCTTAGCCCTGGAAGGGACGAAAGGAGCAACCTAATTCCTCAGCTTTGCTGTATGGGCAGAGGACACAGAGAGAGGCACTTCTGAAGACCTGCAGAAAATGACAGCTTTCTTTGAGGCACTTAGAGTGCCTCCTTCTTTCCACTGGCTGCAACTGAACTCACAGTGCCAGTGGGCAAAGCCAGCCTGCAGCTAGAGTACTGATGTCCTCTTGGAAACTCATCTGAAACACTCCTAACACTCCATCGACACAGGATCCAGCCTCTCTATCCCTACTGCAGGACTGACGTTAGTGCGATCACGGTGCTTCCACCCACATTTTGCACAAAGTTGCAAAAACTTGTAAGAAAGGAAGTGGGTGATGTTTTTAGACTCTAATTAAGCCCTGAGCTCCAACTTCCCAGCAGAATGGCATAACCAACAACCAGGTAGTGTGGATGGTAGGTGTTGCAGCCTGGAACACATGAGGCACAGGGCCACATCAGAGAAGACAAAAGCAAACCCAAGATTGGCCTAGCAGTCCAGATACTCTCTGGCACAGGGTGGAGAGTTAAAAGGTTATGCTTTGTTTTTCTTGTCTTCTGTATGACACATCTTTTCCAAGCGTTAAGTTTGCTCCCCTTGTTCTTTTCTTCTCTTGAGATGAGAACTGGAGCCAACAACTCCTGGTATCCACGCACAGTAGCAGAGGTTGATGCTTTCTACCCAAGTGTGGTGTAATAGTTGGGGTAGTCTTGTAAAATGTCAGTGACACATCAGTCCCTCTCTAATGGTAAAATGCACACTGGCACTCCTGTGCAAGTCATGATCTCAGCCTTATGCACCTATGTGGAAGCTGATGGCCCATGTCGGAAAAAGTCAGACATAATTCTGACTGCTGCTAATTTTTCAGGCTTCTAAAAGGGATTTAAATGCCTGTCTTCCTAAGCTGGATTGTACTGGGACTTGAGGCAAGAGATAAGTGCCTATCTTCCCAGAACAGGATCTTCTTAACATGTGTGGGTGAATATAGTTAAATGCCTGAGGAGCTTTCAGGTTCAGTAGGGTGCTGGGAAACAGTCAGTTGGGATTACATCTGGAATTCATCGTAGGGGTTTCTGCACCTGCAGACAATTTTGGCAGGCTGCCTTTTTGGTTTTGTTTTGGTTTGGGTTTTTTTTGACATATGCCTTTTTTTTTCTTCTCTATACAAGAAGAGTAATTTTACGTTCCCTCAAACTAGACATAATATTGGGCACATGAGCATAGCAGGCCTGTATGGAGCAGTAAGCTCTTAGGCAGCCTTTGTAGTAGCTGGGGAAGGGTCAGTTACTTAGAAGGAAACTTTGCCAAAGGGAGAGATGTCTGAAAGCTGCACAGTCCGGGGGACTGAGAGCAGGCTCCTCTGCTGTGGGCAGTCATCTGATGGGACATGCCTACTGTTCTTCAGTAACACTAAGGAAGATACACAGTAGATTGTTCTAAGATCAACCTTACCTGTGACAGAACCATGCTACAGCATTTCCCCATGAATGGGGATGGCTTTTGGTCCCTCTCAGCCTTTTTCAGATATTTCAGTTTTCAAGAAAATGGTCTCATTGGGAAAAGAATTGCCTTTGCCAGTGTGGCTATAAGGAGGTGACACCCAAGAACACAATAAAGAAAAGAAATCTGAGGGTTTTTCAGCCTAGCATTGAAGTTCATGGGAATGAGGCAACAGTGTTCGAATCCACATTCCCTGAAAAATCTACGCTTTTTAGACTAGGGAAGAACAGGATGAAATATGGACTAATAAGTACAGTGGAGTCTTGGAATAGGGCCAACTTCCCCTCTTCCACAAAATTCTCAAACCACTCAGCTATTATGCAAGAAGCATAGTGTGCTTATTGTTCCTGCTGAGATGTTTGGTTTGTTTTTTTAATCAATCATGTCTGCAGCAACTGTTGTATTTGTGAATCTAAGTATTCAGTGTATGTCACACTTTCAGAATCTATCTGGTCTGAAAAGCCTGAAGCATGAGTAGTTTGGTGTGGTTTGCATTCCCCTTCCCTCTTATGCCTTCTCCATATCAGGTAAGTTCTAAGCATCCCCCCTGCCTCTCAGTCAAGACTCAGAAGCCAAAGAGTTTGAAGAAGGTATGCAGAAAAAAAGTAATTACAAAAATAAAAATATTTTTTTTAAATCTCCAAACATGTGTTTACCCACAAAACTTGCATGGAGACATACATATAAAGCAGGTGAGCTGCTAACAAAAATACACAAGCTTTTGTTAAAACCTATCATAAAACACTTAAAAATACTCCATATATTTAGAATTGAGCAGGGATATTAACAGGCTTCACACTGTACATGGCAACTTGACTTGGCTAAAAGAAGCATAAATCATATGGAAATTCTAGATGTAACCAGGATTATTTCAGCAGTGGAAATCAGTTCTTATGGAATTCCTGGATATACTGGAAAATGTCTGCAAGTAGATTAACTGATTGATTAACATAGGTGAAGTTTCAAAAGCACTTTGACAAAATCCTGTGCACACGGGATGATAAGCACTCAGGTGATAAGAACCAGCATATATGTGAAACAGAAGAATAGAAACAAAACCCCACAGAGAGTGAAACAAAGGAATTGATTTTTATCAGAAAATCCCAGCAAAAGAAGAACAGGGTGTCAAGGTTCCATTGAACATCCAACTCTGGCTAATACATTCCTTACTGCCTCAGATGGGGTGAGGGAAAAGCTGTTGCATTATAATGGCATAGTGTTTCTGTTAGTCAGGACAGGAGAGGAGCAGAGGAATTTCAGACATTTAAACAAGCAGGGTGTTCTGGCAATATTCCATCACCAAGAAAATAATGCTATTAAATAAAAAAAAATTAATTATGCCCACTATAGAAATGTCTTTGTTGACAGTTAGTTCATTTGTGTTAAAAATATCTAGTGTCAATAACTGCCATGTGATTGTTTCAGTGTTTGTATAGAGATGTCTGCAAGCACCTGTGCCATTCCCTATGCAACACTGCTCAACCCATAGCTAAGAGTATTTTGTTAGGATTCAGCAAATGGACAGAAAGATT